AATACCTTGGTTATCGTATCTTCGATAATGTTGTTAAAATTATATGGAAATATTACTTTACTAAAGGTAGCGATAGCTACCCAGCCCTAAGAAAATGAAGGATTTAGTAGAACCGAACAAATATAGAGGGAGTCACAAACTGAGATTCCATAGGCATCCACGAATAAAACAATTAAACAAGATGCAAAAAGAATATAGTAACAATGTAAAAGACCGTGATAACTTTATAATGCATTATCAGACATGACAAATTCGAATATTCTGATAACTAAACGAAGCAATTCACGATATTTTAAGAAATTTAGTATGCAACAGTAGGATTATTGCAAGCTTTTTACATATGCCAAGTCTATCTTGTATGCTGCGCAATAATGTGATGTGTAATAGGCTCACGCAAGTCATTCTTTGCCGTTTTTAGTAGATTGTCGTGACTACCAGTAAATCAGATATGTGAGTTGTGTTAACCGTATTTCGCTTAAGGTGATGAAGGACTCACAGCTAAATTTTCCCACAATGATATGAATAGACATGACGATCCCATTAAATAGCAGTCTTGTTTACATAAAAGATATTGGAATCCAGAGTGAACTGCAGTCTCGACCTCGCCTAAGTCTTATCAACGCACACAGTCACACCTCGGGGCATTCCGAGAAGCCTTACTGGCAAGTTGTATCTGCCTCCGTTAACATTTAAGTAAATATGGTAACATTGGGACTAAATTGGTAGCTGAATCTCTGAACCATGATATAGGTTGGCCTCACTTTTAGATGAGGCCTACTCGTATTAGTTTGGAAAAATTTAAAAAGCATTCCTTCACCTCAAATGAAATAATGTGGGTGCAGCCATTCTTTCATACTCATGGACTATTCTGCACAAGTTCCTCAACGGTATCCGGCTTAGGTTAAAGAATTGCTTGAACGAGCCTTTAGTGACTCGTTAATCCGTCTTCATTACAGAGCTTCGACAAATCAAATCTCGCTATTGCTACACAAGTACAGCAAGCCCTTTCGGTTAGCTCGCTTCCTCTCCTGTCCCCTAACATCCCCATGCTTACTTCCAGAGCAAACTCGCAAAGCAAATTAACTTTGCATACTTGATCCTTAAACAACTATATTTTCACACTGGTTAAGCTTTCCTGTTTCTATCAGGTTTCATAGCAAGTATAAAGGAGTCGTATCATAAGAAGACCATTTAAAAAATAATCAGGCCTTTAAAAATTTCATTCTATTTTGCTCGTAGATGCAAATTACAGAAATAAAAACAAAGGACACAAGGGGTTAAGATATTTGGTATATTTACAGAAAATGCCACTATGGCAAGATCATTAAATCCTAACGTATAGCTTGGTTTACGTGTTGTAAGCCAGAGCCAAAACAAGTTACAATCAACTTGTCGAGACCAGAATAATGCTGACTTTCAGGATCAACTAGATGCCTTTTGGCTTCATCACCATTCTTCTGTTCATGATATTCGCTCTTTTGCGGTTTTGGATTAGCTTTAGTACTCGATTCAATATCACCCATATTGGACATTTTGTCCAAACGATGGAATTGTTCTTCATATCGCAAATCAAATTTTACCTGCAGTCAAAAGATATAAATAGAGCCATGCAAATAATTAAGAAATACAAACTAAAAAAAAGGCAAATTCAGTAATACTAACCCCAAAAAAATCTCGAATTAGCCTTAAGGTCCCAATAGAATACAAAGTAGGTAGACCAATGAGCAATTGACTTGCATTTCTTCCTGACTCACATGCCATAAGGATAAATGCAAGAGATTGAGTATCTGAGCCAACATGGCCACCACGGTAAATCTAAAAGTAAAATAGTCATTTGGAATATCCAATAATTGTTACAAAAGAGAAATGATTAAATCAGATACCTCAGTAAGAAGAAGTTCAGCGGCTCTTTTTCCTAAATCTACGGGGATCACAGGAGGAAGAGAAGAGCCCAGCGGTTCGCTTATTGCTTGAGAACAAAAGTATGAACCTTCTTTTGTTTCAGCCCATAAGATTATGCCAAATCCCGGACTAGAGCCACATGAATCGCTCTATTTCATTTAATAATAAGGAGGAAAAGACGTATAAATTGAATCACCAAGGAATATTTAAGTAAATAACTAAGATATTTAATGGAAGGCTAATAAGAGAGTACTTAATAAGTATATGTAATTAAAGCGTCCTATCAATATTTTAAAGGAAAATAGTGAGGATTATGTAGAAAATCTACCTTCCTGTGATCCTTTGTAAAATACACATCACTAAGAAATTTTGTGAGAACATCCTTAGCACCAGCAATCATTTGATTATTGTTACTTGGATTGACTCGACATGTCCACACAAGTCCTCGGATTCTGCAAAAGTATACATAAGTCGATCGAAGAAGTTTCACTGACAAAACTATGCTTACCTGAAAACTTTACCACTTCTAAGTTTATTTATGGGAAAAATACATTTGCAGGGTTTAGCTTTAAATAAGATTTCGCCTCCGCCCTTAGGAAGAAGACCCCTTTTTATAACTTCAATCTTTAGTCCATCTGCTCCCACTGGCCCTAAGAAATGAGCCAAGACCTTGAACCATACTTTATCTATAATGTCTACAGATGGATCGATTGAGTTATTGGTGACACCAAAGAGTCTGGCTTCAGTGGGATTTTTACAAAAGAGGGCAAGCAGGAGTAGTACTTCAAGGTAATAGCCCAGGCCTCTAGATGTGCAACAGGAAAACGTAAACTCTCCTCCAATAAGATTTCCAGGAAAGAAAGACACGATTGTTCCTATTCTATTAATAATACGAAACGGGCTAACCAGTATCATTTATCTTGACAATTGTACCGTTGGTTATTTCATCTAATAATTTGAAAAGGCTAAGCTCAGCATCATCCACTCCGGGGTTTGTACTCTTAGAGCGTATATTAATAATCCTAACTGGGTGCGAAGAGAGTAAGGAAAGGGCAATTCGCATTCTGAAATTTTGAGTGCCTGCATACACGTGAGAGATCATGGTCAAATAAGGCAGAATAAATAAACGTTGTGAGAGTAAATAAAATAAAATAAATTAAAAACGTATATTTTAAGTTAAATGTTTGATTTGAGTTTTTTTAATTTAAAATTGTATACGAATTAATAATATTCTTTTAGTTGACTTCTTATAATTTCAACGTGACTTCATGATTAGTTAATATGACTTGAATTTTTTAAATAAATTGATAGACAAGCTGTTAT